GATTTTCAAGTAGCTTGACCTAAACTCAGACCTAAAATTTGGTTGGTGCACATGAAACATATGTCGGATTTTAGTACCGTCGACACCGCATGAATTTGCATATCGCGACGGAAATAAATGCATCAGCCGACAACAATGATGCAAGTTATTTGGACGTGTCAATGCATCAATTCGGGCGTGGCTGAGACAAGCTGACACAAACAGACAACCAGGGAACTCGTGGTGTTATTAGCGAAGGTCAAAAAGCAAAGTTTGTACAGTAAGGAAACGACTTCATTGACGTTAAAGAGCTACAGTCTGCTCTACGTCCTATGGTTGCCCACCGTTCACGAGAGCCTCTATAGCTTGCATGGTCAATCGCTGATCTCCGAAGGCCTCCTCAAGTTGACGGTGCTGCTCTGGCGTAAATTGGCCAAACTCGTCCGGTAGATAGCTCACCAGCAACGCCTCTACTGTGTCCGGCAGAATTGGACACAATCCAAGCTCGTCACCACCATGACTGTTCTCTTAGTGTTGCTGCGTGAACACTGGCGTTCGATCAACTGCATACCGCATAAAGTTCTCCACATGGAAGTAAAACTGGCGAACGTCATGCTCAGTAACTTGCAGCACCACCAACGCGAGACAGCGCTTCAGCATAGCTTTACTCTCGTCCGTTACCCCTGTCGCCTTCGCACAACGGTACGCCAAAGCAAGCTCCTCAATCTGACGTCTGCCTCGCTGACGTGCCAGTGTTCGCGCCCGGTCGGTCTGTTTGGCTTGCCGTCGCTGACGCCGCGAGTCCTCCAAGATAGCGCCACGGGAGCGGAGATTGATACCTTCTAGAGCAGGATCAAGCACGATACTTGGGTTCAGTCGCGGTAGCTGAGAAGGAAGCTCACGCGGGCGGCTTCTCGTGCTCATGTTTGGTTTAGGAGGGGAGTTTAGGCGAATCTGCTGCTGGTGGCGGTTTGTGTTGTGAGGTGCGAGAGGGTAACCCTCTCCGAGCCACAAATCGCTTTGGTTATAAACATGCGGTGGGTTCATGCATTTATTTGCGTCGCTGGCGCTTTGCATCATTGTTGTCGGCTGATGCATTTATTTACGTCGCGATGAGACTGGATTGAAATCAAACACGTTCGGGGCAAAATCAAACACTTATTCGGCACGATCAAACACAAAAAGACTTGGTCAAAACCAGACTGCGTAATTGTCGAAAATCAAACACTATTCGGACCGAATCAAAACAAGTTTGATGGTAGTGTGGTTCCCTGTATATTAGGCTTCTCCTAAAATACAGTGATCACACATTAAAATGAAAGGCCAGGAGTGATCAACTTGCGCAGAAGTCGAGAAGAGCAGACGAGACTATAAGTTGGCCACCGCTGTCCGCCATCTGCGCTACAAGAACGCTGAAAGACACGAGATGCGCGACGAGAGAACTATGTGGGAAATCGTCGCTTCCGGGCAGAACAGTGAAAGCTACGTAAAAGAGCGACTCGAGAGAATGTGCTGCTCCAGTGCCTGCGTCAAGCATGTTAAGGAGACGTGCCAAATCTGCCCAGGTGACCACGAAATAGATGAAAGACGCATACGGTGCTCAAGTGTTACATGCATCGCGTTAGCCGTGCCCAAGGGAAACAAGAAGCCCGTGTGCGTGAAAGTATGGAAGGTGTGGCAGTGCCCAAGCACAAATGCATGGAGAATCCTTGGTACAGCCGTTGAGCATACTCGTGGAAGTGCTGGATGCGGTGGGGTGCATCGTGCGGTGATCACCCTGCAATGCGAACGTACATCGGAGACATGGATGAAACTGGTTTGGCGCCGCGGCACATTTGGTCAGGGCTGCGTCGCTACAGCGAAGCTCCGCCGCTGAACGGGGTGTCTACGTATGAACAGGTCGCTCGATGCGTCAAAAGCTTGCGAGAGAAGCATGGAGAGCGAAACTCGGTTGAATCGCTGCAGAATTGGTGCGCGAGTTCCCCTTACACTCTGGAATAGATGCAGACAAAGCGTTCATGTTTGGAGCCACTCTGGATGACAATGGTTTTCCTCGTATCGGGAAGGGTGAAGACGACGATGCTTTGGTGTTGGGTGTGTCGACGGTGGGCCTGCTGGAGAAGTTGAGAAGTTTCCAAGAGTCGAATATGTTTGCTTTGTTTCATCTCGATGCTACATTCAAGCTCAGTGAGATCGGTTACCCGGTCATTACGTGTGGATTTAGCGACTACTCCAGAAAGTATCACCTGGCGGCTGTATTTGTCGTTAGCCGCTTGACTCACGTAGAGTACTCCTCAGTTCTTGCGGCCGTGTTGCAAGTATACCACAAGTTGTTCTCCCAGTATCCCAAGATCGATGCGGTTCTTGGCGATGCAGAAGATGCCCAGTACAATGCACTGCAGAGCTCACCTCAATTCCGAGGTGCCACATTTTTAATTTGCTTCTTTCATGTACTTCACAACGTGAGAAAGCGAACACGCCAGCTTGATGATGCTGCCGGTGCTATGGTTTACAAGGGCATTATTGCGATGCACTTTTCAGCGAGCCTCATGGAGTTCTATCAAATTCGTGATACGATTCTGGCACAATGGCGGAAAATCCGAGTTCTCCAAGATTTTGCCAATTACTTCGAGAAACAGTGGATTCAAAGTCGTTACTGGCGTTGGCAAGCCTTTCACACACGCTACAACGAATAACCCGTGTGAAACGTTCAATGCTAGTGTCAAACGACATTTGATGCGGAAGATGTTCGACACCCAGCGGCTGCTTCGAAAACTTTCAGTGATATGTGAAGATGTGACGGCAGATAATTTCAAACCTGCCGCGTCGATTGGAAACCCACCTTCGACACTAGTGAACACGGCCCGAAAATTAGTCCATGCTCAGCAGTTAGTGCTGTACGAGACGGGCGAGGCGCGTATTGTGAGAATTGTTCAATTGAGCTCCTTCAACAGCGAGTCGAAGCGTTTGGCAGAAGCTTCCAATCAGGCTTTTGTGCGGCTTATCACGAGCAAGACAACAGGTCAGTTGCACGAGAGGCTTGGACGACGGCAACGGCGCAAGGCTTCCGCGATGCACAATCACGCGATGAAGTGGTCATTGTGTATGGCTCATCGAATGAAGATGCCAGCAGAAGGGTGGACTGTGGACATTACCGAGGGCACATGTGAATGTCGGTATTTCGCGAAAATGGGACATTGCTGTCACGTACTTGGCGCACAGATGCTAAGAGGCGATAGACGGTATTCGGGTGGGCGGTGCTGTGACCGGCTTAAGGACCGTCGAGTACGCAAGAAGCAGCGAGGCCAAACCGAGGAAGGTCGTACAACCGTGGAAGTTCCTATTGCACCACAGCCGACACTACCGCCATCAACTGTGACTCCAAGTGAGACTGCATCTGACAACTTCACATGTGCCGACTCGGCCACTGTGCTCCCACAGTTTCCGTTCAACGCGCAGCAGACCTACTTTCAAGGGCAAACAGTCGTCCAGCAAACCGAAAGTCCCCAACTGCCTATGATCTTCAACGCGACCAATTGGGGGATTTCCCAGCTTCACGAATATTCGCGGCCAATACGGCCCACGCCACGCCATTTGGGCAAGGTATTGTTTGGCAGCCAAACCGATCAGGCCGCCCTCCTATAGCAAGAAGCGCACTAGAGATCCAATACCATTTTTAATGAGTCAAAATATCAGGATGTATTTTGAAGCTTTACTCTATCGCTCCACTTTACAACTCTTTCACCAGCACTTAAACGTACCCAGCTAGGTTTCTAACGTTCTAAGAAACAATATGGCCATGTCTTGAGCTTTTAAATAAACAAAGATAATATACCGATCTTGAAGAGGTGAATTTTACAAAAAGACCTTCAACATTCTTCTACACCGCGTATTGGTGATTTCCCGCTTGGTGAGTACTATTCACTGCCTCACACCTTTCTAGCGGTAATTCAATATAAAACGGATGTAAATTATTAATCATATCGCCTGCAGCTTAGTAGGGGTTAGCTGGAGAACCTATTATTTTTAGTTTGCAGTATGAATGGATGACACTGCCAGTATGGATCGCTGAAGCTGACATTATGGATCGCTAACACTTACGCTGAAGTAACAATCGACACCTAAGCCTGCCCGTCCCTTGGTCTGTGCCAGTCCTGAGCCGTGTACTTTAGCTCGGTGTCTAGTGGCTAAGGTGGCGACCACAATCTAATCAACACACGCAGATACGCTATTGGGTTGACCGCCTCGTTCCTCGTAGGAAGTTCCTACTAGGAACTGGGTTCTCCCGTCGACTTTGCCATCTTCAAGGTGACAGCGGGGAGGCAAAAGCAGAAATGAGCTCCAGTTTTGTGGCAGCGTGCAGAGGCTTGTTTTCAGCCCATAGCCAAGCATTCTACTCAATATTACGTGGGTGCAGGAGTCACAGAGCCCTTGACTACTGACTAAAATATGTGGTCACTGCTGAAAAAGTGCATGTTGGCGCATATTTTACCACCTTGCGGAAAGTGCTCTAGTGTAGTGTCGTCGATCGCTGCGAGCTCGGCATTGCTATCTTCAATCGGAGTCTAGACAAACAGTTGGGCGGTCCTAAACATCACGCCTTTGCAGCAGTTTTCATGCACTATGAGTCATAGTGCATGAGAATCATAGTCTATGAGAACGAACTGCGATTGGCAGTAAGGCTGACTTTTCATGACTGTAGCAAGTTCAGCTATCCTATTCACATACCTCGATCTTCTTTAACAAATCTGCTTGAGCTATTCATCTTACACTAGCGCCTCTGTTACAATATCGCTGCTAATTTGTGTTGCTCCGCTGCTTGCCATCACTTGAGGGGGTTGTCCTCCCAGCAGCAATGACATCATGGATCCTCCACTCTGACTATCTTGAATCGACATCGCCCGTAGTCCAGGTACCGTCGGTGGCAGCAACGAGAATGTATCGACCTCGGGCGTGAAACTTGCTCTTGACGACTTAGTAGACGCATCCCTGTCGAGAACCGATTTTGGTCGGCCGCCGCCATGATCTCCGCACTTTCCCCTCGATACCACCTTCTTCTCACAGCCTGGATGCGAGCAGACTCTCCTACCGCCATGGCCAGCACACAAGCCCTTGAACTGCGCCTGCTTGTCGCATCCAGAAAACGAACACCTGCCTCCTTTGGTGTGAGTCCGGCATTTGTCCCTGGATTGAGCCTTGTTAGTGCACCCAGGATGCGTGCACTGCTTCCCGCCATGCGACGGTCGACCGATTTTCTTCGCCTTGGGCTGAGAGACGGACTCGGGCTGAGAACGCTTCATCGGTTGGACCTGGGGGGATACAGGAGCGTTAGAATTTTATGATGTCGTTGCACTCGAAAATCGGTGTAGTTTCAAATACTCACAATGTTGACGGGGGATCTGTGCGAAGGGAAATGAGTATTGTATCCAGCAGCCATGTTGGCCGCTGATGGGAAGCAGCTTCTTCAGAATCTCAACTTCCTCGAATGAGCTCGTCTTCGTGTCTGGAACCTTTCGCCTTCTATTTATATGTGATCAGAATCAAGGGCACTATCATAGGCACACTACGCTGCAACAGTTCAGGTAGTGTGCTTAAAAGCCCCCAATTCTGCAAGTTGTTTTGGCTGAGGCTATGGAGTGCAATGCGTGCATGTTCGGGTCCGCCGCCGCTTTCTTTGCGTCGTCGGATATCGTCATGCCAGTAGTAAAGTGCTCAGCGGATGTAGGCGGCCAGCGCATCACGAAATGCGAGTCTTCAGGGTGCCTGGAAGAAGCCGAGGCGAATGGATTCTGTGGCGAACATGGTGGCGCCTGCCTGTCAGAGGAACTCGCGCAGTATCAAGGCAATCTTATACTTGAAGAGCCTGCTGCAAGCGGACAACCTGAAGGACACCTGCAACATACTCAGTGTTCGCAGCCAGGATTGAAGCCATCAGCTACTGAGACAGCGACATCAAGCGCCGTGGAAGAAACCAAGAGCAGCCCCGACACGCGCGATCAGGACGCGAATACACTTACGTCCACCGCAACGAATTGCAATGACGCTGGCAGAGGACCTGATGACGTGGGTATCTACTGCATGACTGAAGACGAATACGTCGAGCACCTACTCGGCCTCAATCAACTAAGGAGGCAGTGCGTTCGTGCAGGGCGTGTCAGGAAAGCTCGTGCGGGGAGTTCGCAGTGCATTGAGCACAGCTGTCTACAGACCTGGGGCGTAATTCCCGCGATGCCTGATCCGTCTACTGCAAGAATTCGCCATGACTCCAAACGCGAAAACGCCGGCGTGGATCTCTGCTCTTCAGCTGATAGCAATGAAGGCGACTACGCCGTACAGATACTCAGTCTCAGCCAGCCGAAGAAGCAGTGTGTTCGTGCGAAGTCCAAGTATTCACGGGTAGAACGTTTGGTGTGCATTGAAAACGGCGACGTGCCGAGGAGGAAGCGTGCAAACTCTATGAAGACTATCCCTGGCGGACTTTGTGCGCTTCCAAATTGCGGAAAGGTGGCCGAATATGGCGGTCTTTGCTACGGTCACTCCATCGGATGGAAGTTGAACAAGTAAATGCAAGGACTGCAGTAGATTTTTTTATTTTTCAACTAAAAACTATTCAGCTAAGCTTACGTGAAGATCACATAACTATAAAATCTGCGCCACCACTTCCTAACCGTCCAGACCTCATATATTCGCCACGGTGTCGACTGAATCCGATGGCTTCATGTAGCCATCGAGATGGTCCATGTCCGTTTCCACGTATCCTCGAACGAGCTCGTCTTCGTGTCTTGAACCTTTCGCCTCCTATTTATATGTGATCAGATTCAAAGACAGTATCGCAGGTTCACCACGCTGCAAAAGCTCGAATATTATGCCAAAGTCTCCAATTCTGCAGTTGTTTGGCCGAAGTCATGGAGTACAATGCGTTCATGTTCGGGTTCGCCGCCGCTTTCCTTGCGTCGACTGACATCGTCATGCCGGTGGCGTGCGAGACAAACAGCCAAGAGAAGTCACCGGAGCTCGAGTTGCCACTTTTTGAGCAGGGAACGCAGGGGCCCAATGATTCCGACTATCAGCATATCCCTGACGCTACTGGGGCCTGTCAAGATACAGCAAAGTGCTCAGCGGATGGAGGTGACAAGTGCCTATCTCCAGTGTCGGGAGCGCGCCTTGTGGAGAGGATGGTGCTATGTATGACCATGCAGGGAGAGCCAAGTGCGAGGCGTCCGGGTGCTTGGAAGAAGCCCTGAGGAACGGATTTTGTGGCGAACACGGCGGTACCGACCAGAGTCCAAATACAGGGGAAGTCGCGCAATCTCAAGGTAACAACAACCTTGAAGAGACTGATACAAGCTCACAGTCCAAGGACACCCTACAACACGGAAAGTGTGTCGATCATGACAAAGTCGTTGGTGGCCGTGAACTGCGTCACCGTCACAAATGCGCGTACTCGAAATGCACCGAGCGCGTCAGGATGGACGGGTCCATGTGTCTCAAGCACGCCGACTGCAAACTTTGCGTGCAGCCAGGGTGCTTTACCACGGCTCGACTCGGAAGGACATAGTGCGCGATTCACAGCAACTTTAACGGAGCAAGACGGTGTGCGCATCGAGGTTGCACGAGATCAGTGAAACGTGCTGGCAGGTGTTCTGTGCATCAAAAGCCCAGTCGGTGCGCACACGCGGGCTGTGTCAAGTTAGCCACCAAGTTCGGCGGAAAGTGCGCCAACCACAGCGATGTCAGTCCGTGCTCGAAGCGTTCTCTGAAACCTCGGCAAAACAATAGTGAAGAGAATATCGAAGCGACTGAAGCGATCGAGCCGTCAGCTACCGAGACAGCGATATCAAGTCACTGTCAGAGCAGCCAAGGCTCATGGGCAAACGTGGAGATACCTGACACTTCTACTATCGCTGGAGATACAGAAGCGGATGAATATTGTGCGACCGAGGACGAATACGTGGAGCGCTTGCTCAATCTCGATCAACTGAAGCAGCAATGCGCTCGTGCCGAGTGCGTTAAGCAAGCTCTTGCAGAAGGCTTGCTGTGCATTGAGCACAGCATCCTGCCAGGCAGCAGGATCTGCCAACGTGCTACAAGGAGGCCGAATTTGCCGGACTTTGCCACGATCACTGCATGGAACTAGGAAAAGAACTATTGGTGTTTACCAAGTGGAAAATCGGCCAAATCAAACAACTACAGGTGCTACGTCACGCCTCCACCGAGTAGAGCTTCCGTGGGAACAGGGTGGAGTCCACCCTGTTCCCACGGAAGCTCGTAGACTGGGTACTGATCGTCCGCATTGAAGAACTTCCCCGTGTCCTCCAGCGACAAATTCGCCACGATCTTCGCCATGGCTTCGGCTGATTCTGAGGGCTCCATGTAGCCTTGGTGGCCATTCATGTCCGTGGCCACGTAGCCAGGGTGCAGCGTCACGAAGCCAATGTTGCTTGCACGCAGTCCGACAGCCAGCGAGCGCGTGACCATATTCAGTGCAGCCTTGGACGCCGTGTACCCGTACGCTTTACTGAAGAAGTCCTTAGTTTCCGTGGTGTTACTGCCGATACTCCCCACGAGCGACGAGATTTGCGTGACGTACGCCGATTCGTTCGTCTTCGCGGCCAGTTCCAGATTGAGTAAAAGCGCGCGGGTCACCAGGAACGGACTGACTGCGTTGACCTCGAACTGGCGCATGAACGCGTCCTTGGTGGCCGCTTGGAAGTCGTCGGGCACCCAGATCCCAGCGTTGTTGATGAGGAGATCGATTGGGACGCCCTCCAGTTGACGCGCGGCTTCGAGAATCGAGGCTTCGTCACTCGTGTCCAGCATCACGATCTTGAAGGGCGACAGAGCTGCGACCTAGGATAACTTACAGGTCAGGGCAGGGACGACTAATAAGGCAAGCGTGCTGATACTTACCTCATCAGTGTTGCTATTGGCTCGAGCCGTGCCGATGACGTTCCAGCCGTTCTTGGTGTAGTATTCCGCGAGAGCGAGGCCGATGCTGCGCGTGCTGTCCGTGATGAGAGCGGTTTTCTTGGTGGCGGTCGACATGGTCAGGTGGTGAAATGTTGATGGTATTTGAAGCGGCTTGTGGAGCTCGAAGCGTTTTGAGAAGTGAGGCGGGAAGGCCGTCTGGAGATGGCGACTCGCTCCCACAAGAGCCTTCACTCCGCAAAAAGCGATGTCTTCGTTGACTTCAAGGTTTTCGTTGTTGGTTGGCCTCCTCGTATTCGGCAATCATTATCATTCAACGCGAACGATTGTAGGATTGCTTATCAACACTTCAGTGCATTAACCCAGTGACTGGACCCGCTCTCTGGTAGACGCCGCCCGTCAGTGGTGAAGTGAGGTGAACCGAGTGCGTGTTTGGCAGAGATGAAGCCTTACTGCAGCGTAACGATCGGAAAAAGAGAGATGGAGGTGTTTGGGCACCGTGGGTTTGCTACGCCCATTACCTGTGCTACAGTGTTGATGATAGTGCAAGCTACCAAGTATATGAAGTCGGAAAAGGCGTTTTCTTTATTCCCCGCGAAAAGCACCTCTCGGCATTCTCCAGTTACGTGGGTTTATCCGCTAACTTTTGCACACGTGGATCACGCTCTCGTATTGTTCTTCTCCCAAATTCTTGGAGAGTTGGTCCGGCGTGATTTTGGCGTCAACGGCGAGTATTTCCTTAAGAGCTGCTTCGCCTGCTCCACATGATCGTATTGTAGACGGGGTATTTGTTTTCTTCGTCTGCAGTGCATCCCAGTTTTCTTACTCTTTGTTTTTGTGGATCTTTTATATACTGTATGAAATAATCAAATCAGGGAAATAAACTTCAGAGATTAGCTGTACATTCACGTGGTCGAGGTTGCTTCGTCAACTAGCTTGCCGGTGGATGTGAGATCACCACGTGTTCGAACCAGTCGACTCCGAAGATGCCACCATTACAGCTTTCAGAAGAGCTCTTTGGACTACGCTAGCGCGTTCGCATTCGTCGTCACCAACTGCGTCTTGTAACAATTGCCCAAACTCGCTGGCTGCCAGGCCCTGTGCCTTCCGCTTGCTCAACACCACGGGGATTTGACGCGTGCATATCTCCGCAGTCGACGATAATCCATCCGCGGACGCTCGAAGGATACACCACCCGGTTTCGTCGCAATGCATCCCGCTAAAAATCCCCTCGCCTTCCGAGCAGATTTTCCAGGTGTACACCGCCCGGTCCCCCTCCACATATCGCCTACCAACATATCGTTGTAGCAGTGACCCCTTCTCCGCGGTCGGTAGTTTCCGAACAAGGCGGAAGCGGAGGATGGTGATATCTTTGGAGTCTACCAAACCTTCGACAGCCTCCCGATCTTGCTGTCGATGGCGCAGCTTTGACAATTTCCACACCGCTTTTTCCGTCTGCTCGAATTTAAATGCACCGTAAACTTGTCTAGATGCTGGTAGCACTTCACTTTCTCGTCCCATTTGCATGGGAGAACAGAGTTCGATACTCCATCAGGTAGCGCTGCAATCCCGCAGTCACGTATGATGTCATCGACGCGGGCGTAGCACGCATCGGTCTCTCGGATCAACGCCATGCACAAGGTTGCGTCGGCTGACACGATACTCCGTGGGGGGTTGTGACGGGTGGCTCCGCCAAGGTGGTGGAAAATGTTCGTGTTCGAGTGCAGCAGCGCCGCGACGTGATCGGGAATTAACGTTTGGAGATGCTCGATGTACGACTCCTGTACTTGCGCGACTCGAGCAAGTAGCTGTTGCTGCGCCTCCATTCGCGTTCGTTGTTGTCGCTGCCAAGCAGCTTGGTTTCTCCAGAAGGAGTGGGTGGATCTGAGGGGGGTCTTCATCTTGTCCAGCTTTAGCTTCTTCAGTTGCTGGGTCAGCTCCTGCACTTCCCGCTTCAGTTCTTCGCGCTCGTTCTTGACCCTCAGTCGCTGCTTTCTGCGCTGAAGCGTTACCTTGCGATGCCGTTCTGCATCCGAGTCGCGGAAGCTAAGTCGCTCTCGCCCTGAAGAGACTGGTAGTCGTCGACGCAAGCGTCACTTAAATCGAAGTCGGGGACGTCGTCGAAGAGCTCGCTACTCAGGTCGAACGGCATGACGATGTCAACAGGGCGCGTCGTTCGGTTCAAGGAACTCGTCGGTGCCGTCAATTATTACGTCCATACCGCTGTGTCGGCTGTGACTGAGTATCTGTTTGTCTGGAGGTTATTTAGCAACTGTCCTCAGTATTGCACTGACATCGTCAGCCTCTGGTAAGACAGATCACGCATTGGCATCTTCAGCCTCTTCTTTCCCATCATGACCAAGCAATCACGATTTTTCCGTTGCTTTGTCCAGATGGGTATTGGTGTGTGTAATATTGTGTGATACATATATTTTAGCTCCCCTGCCATGGATAAGTCACGCGCGATGAATATTTTGAACTTCATCCATGTGTTGTGCGGTACTGGGTAGTATTTGTGATATTACATACAAGAAACGAAGTGCATACCATCAGCACAACCACCGACCACCGACGCCACCCAAAGTAGCCGAAACGAACCGTTCGCGGGGATCTCGACGCGCGTGAAGACGGCGATCTGGAGGACGACAGTGAGGCTGTTGACGGTGACGGTCGCGTGGCAAGCAGCGACGAGGCCGAAGCTGAGAGCGACATCGAGGATGAAGTCAGTAGTGATGACGAAGAAAGCAGCGAGGAGGAGCAGAGCAGTGAAGAAGAGGACAGCAGTGGAAAGGAGGACAGCAGTGATGACGAAGAGTAAAGAGAATAGAAGAAACCTCTGCAATACAGTGACTGCGTTTTAAATTCACTGAAATTTAGTTTGCTGATGACTTACTTGTATTCTTATTGTTACTGCTCAGTATTGTCAGCGATCCATACTGTCAGTGTCAGCGATCCATACTGTCATTGTCAGAGTTACAACCTGGATTTACAATTGGCCGGCATGCTGACGGCGGCGAGGACAAGAACAGCGAGTGCTGCGAGGACGACAGGAGCGATGAGCGCAGCGAGGACGACAAGCGGTAAGTACAGCGACGATAGCGATCAGTACAAGGACGACGAGGACGGCAAGAGCCGCAGACCAAGATGCATGTGTAGGAGAGGGCAAACTTTGCCTTCTCCCTTGAGCCAGAGAAAACGAAGTACGAGAGCGTAAGTCGCGACACCGGCCTGGTGCACGCGATTGCAACACGACTGTAGTTATACGTACCAGAGCGAGCATTGACGCTTACGTGTCGGTGGTGGCTCCGGAGGAACAGTGAGTATTGCAGCCTCACGGCGTTGCAACCCCGGTATTGCAGCCCGGTTCCAGACTTCTGTCGCCGCCCAGAGGTAATTAGCAGCCCCAAGAGGTGACAGAGAGAGAGAGCAAGTGAGATCACCGAGGCAGGAAGTCGGGTCAGCGCTAAACACCTCCGGCGATCCCAACTGACCCAGAGTCTGTACGAGGAACGAGGCGGTCAACCCAATTGCGTATCTGCGTGTGTTGATTAGATTGTGGTCGCCACCTTAGCCACTAGACACCGAGCTAAAGTACACGGCTCAGGACTGGCACAGACCAAGGGACGGGCAGGCTTAGGTGTCGATTGTTACTTCAGCGTAAGTGTTAGCGATCCATAATGTCAGCTTCAGCGATCCATACTGGCAGTGTCATCCATTCATACTGCAAACTAAAAATAATAGGTTCTCCAGCTAACCCCTACTAAGCTGCAGGCGATATGATTAATAATTTACATCCGTTTTATATTGAATTACCGCTAGAAAGGTGTGAGGCAGTGAATAGTACTCACCAAGCGGGAAATCACCAATACGCGGTGTAGAAGAATGTTGAAGGTCTTTTTGTAAAATTCACCTCTTCAAGATCGGTATATTATCTTTGTTTATTTAAAAGCTCAAGACATGGCCATATTGTTTCTTAGAACGTTAGAAACCTAGCTGGGTACGTTTAAGTGCTGGTGAAAGAGTTGTAAAGTGGAGCGATAGAGTAAAGCTTCAAAATACATCCTGATATTTTGACTCATTATAAATGGTATTGGATCTCTAGTGCGCTTCTTGCTATAGGAGGGCGGCCTGATCGGTTTGGCTGCCAAACAATACCTTGCCCAAATGGCGTGGCGTGGGCCGTATTGGCCGCGAATATTCGTGAAGCCCCCCAGATGTGGGAAATCCCCCAATTGGTCGCGTTGAAGATCATAGGCAGTGGGGGACTTTCGGTTTGCTGGACGACTGTTTGCCCTTGAAAGTAGGTCTGCTGCGCGTTGAACGGAAACTGTGGGAGCACAGTGGCCGAGTCGGCACATGTGAAGTTGTCAGATGCAGTCTCACTTGGAGTCACAGTTGATGGCGGTAGTGTCGGCTGTGGTGCAATAGGAACTTCCACGGTTGTACGACCTTCCTCGGTTTGGCCTCGCTGCTTCTTGCGTACTCGACGGTCCTTAAGCCGGTCACAGCACCGCCCACCCGAATACCGTCTATCGCCTCTTAGCATCTGTGCGCCAAGTACGTGACAGCAATGTCCCATTTTCGCGAAATACCGACATTCACATGTGCCCTCGGTAATGTCCACAGTCCACCCTTCTGCTGGCATCTTCATTCGATGAGCCATACACAATGACCACTTCATCGCGTGATTGTGCATCGCGGAAGCCTTGCGCCGTTGCCGTCGTCCAAGCCTCTCGTGCAACTGACCTGTTGTCTTGCTCGTGATAAGCCGCACAAAAGCCTGATTGGAAGCTTCTGCCAAACGCTTCGACTCGCTGTTGAAGGAGCTCAATTGAACAATTCTCACAATACGCGCCTCGCCCGTCTCGTACAGCACTAACTGCTGAGCATGGACTAATTTTCGGGCCGTGTTCACTAGTGTCGAAGGTGGGTTTCCAATCGACGCGGCAGGTTTGAAATTATCTGCCGTCACATCTTCACATATCACTGAAAGTTTTCGAAGCAGCCGCTGGGTGTCGAACATCTTCCGCATCAAATGTCGTTTGACACTAGCATTGAACGTTTCACACGGGTTATTCGTTGTAGCGTGTGTGAAAGGCTTGCCAACGCCAGTAACGACTTTGAATCCACTGTTTCTCGAAGTAATTGGCAAAATCTTGGAGAACTCGGATTTTCCGCCATTGTGCCAGAATCGTATCACGAATTTGATAGAACTCCATGAGGCTCGCTGAAAAGTGCATCGCAATAATGCCCTTGTAAACCATAGCACCGGCAGCATCATCAAGCTGGCGTGTTCGCTTTCTCACGTTGTGAAGTACATGAAAGAAGCAAATTAAAAATGTGGCACCTCGGAATTGAGGTGAGCTCTGCAGTGCATTGTACTGGGCATCTTCTGCATCGCCAAGAACCGCATCGATCTTGGGATACTGGGAGAACAACTTGTGGTATACTTGCAACACGGCCGCAAGAACTGAGGAGTACTCTACGTGAGTCAAGCGGCTAACGACAAATACAGCCGCCAGGTGATACTTTCTGGAGTAGTCGCTAAATCCACACGTAATGACCGGGTAACCGATCTCACTGAGCTTGAATGTAGCATCGAGATGAAACAAAGCAAACATATTCGACTCTTGGAAACTTCTCAACTTCTCCAGCAGGCCCACCGTCGACACACCCAACACCAAAGCATCGTCGTCTTCACCCTTCCCGATACGAGGAAAACCATTGTCATCCAGAGTGGCTCCAAACATGAACGCTTTGTCTGCATCTATTCCAGAGTGTAAGGGGAACTCGCGCACCAATTCTGCAGCGATTCAACCGAGTTTCGCTCTCCATGCTTCTCTCGCAAGCTTTTGACGCATCGAGCGACCTGTTCATACGTAGACACCCCGTTCAGCGGCGGAGCTTCGCTGTAGCGACGCAGCCCTGACCAAATGTGCCGCGGCGCCAAACCAGTTTCATCCATGTCTCCGATGTACGTTCGCATTGCAGGGTGATCACCGCACGATGCACCCCACCGCATCCAGCACTTCCACGAGTATGCTCAACGGCTGTACCAAGGATTCTCCATGCATTTGTGCTTGGGCACTGCCACACCTTCCATACTTTCACGCACACGGGCTTCTTGTTTCCCTTGGGCACGGCTAACGCGATGCATGTAACACTTGAGCACCGTATGCGTCTTTCATCTATTTCGTGGTCACCTGGGCAGATTTGGCACGTCTCCTTAACATGCTTGACGCAGGCACTGGAGCAGCACATTCTCTCTAGTCGCTCTTTTACGTAGCTTTCACTGTTCTGCCCGGAAGCGACGATTTCCCACATAGTTCTCTCGTCGCGCATCTCGTGTCTTTCAGCGTTCTTGTAGCGCAGATGGCGGACAGCGGTGGACAACTTATAGTCTCGTCTGCTCTTCTCGACTTCTGCGCAAGTTGATCACTCCTGGCCTTTCATTTTAATGTGTGATCACTGTATTTTAGGAGAAGCCTAATATACAGGGAACCACACTACCATCAAACTTGTTTTGATTCGGTCCGAATAGTGTTTGATTTTCGACAATTACGCAGTCTGGTTTTGACCAAGTCTTTTTGTGTTTGATCGTGCCGAATAAGTGTTTGATTTTGCCCCGAACGTGTTTGATTTCAACCCAGTCTCACGCACAGCGCACACGGCGTGCCGCACTTGCTACGCACCAGTAGCCCGCGCTGTGCGTCTTATATTATGAACATCCACAACTACCAGATAAGCAGAGTTGTTACTGCAATAACACACTATAATATCAATTTACTTTCTTATCCCCGCGCTGTTAATAACCAAATAGAGGTCTTTAGCAGAACTGTGTGGGTTTTAGGCACAACCCCCACCCAAGCCCGCCATTGCTGATTTGCTACAACCCTTTGTGGGTTGTCACCACCAGCACATGGTAGAGACATGATTTACATACCGCTAGGCGACGAATTAGCTTGGTGTTGAGCTGTTCGTCAAGTGCTCATGCGAGACGCTCTTTTGTTAAATAAGTAATATTGAAGAATACTAGTCTCCAGGCCGAGATACTTCTCAAAGCTCTCGCTTTGCATGTATCTTCGATCAAGTAAGTCTGCTAAAGAAGCGTAAGGTGCCGCCCAAGTTGTTGAGCAGTATTTTAGTAGCAGCACCATACTTTTAGCGTCCTCATGGTGGTAAGTTACTAAAACATATGTCGAACTCGCACAGTTTGATCTCCAACTTGGTGGACTCGCAAGTGTTCACCCAGTTCAAGTGGTGGGTTTCAAACCCACAAATTGGTGGGATATGACTAATACCAGCTGTGATAACCCACAAAGTAACTGTGTAGGTTTTGCTAAAGACCTCTAATACGAGCAACCTATCGGTTGCCACAGTGCCCTCCCAAGCACTAACCTTCGTGCTGTAAGTTCGTCCATGTGTTGCGTCTTCGGGTCTGGAGAAGATGCGTATTACCAGAACCTACAGGCAATGTGGAAATTAGCATAGTTTCGCCACCGCCACCAAAATCTACGGGATGCCGACTGGTTATTGTACTGTGTACTTTTGAGAAAACAAGGCTGACTTCTTCGGAAAGGCAATTCTGGGAGGGAAAAGGAGTGTAATCGCATAGTGGACGGTGGCTCTGACTACTGAAGAAGGCTATCGTATCTGCGATTATACACAATGGTGCTGCTTCATCAACAAACCGTGCGCTTGGAGGCCAAATATGCACACTCCACAGCTCCTACTTGTTGGTAGCTTTGTCTGTTATCTACTACGTAGTATCTTTCGTACTTTGACTATTATATTATTAAGGTAGCTTGAATTAGAACG